CGATAGAATCAAAAATAGTAAATTCAAGAAGAACAAGACTGAAACCATAACCTAACAAATAAATAAACGAATAGGAATCGGCCCATAGGACATGAAAGGCCTAACGAGACAAAGCTTTGAAAAACAAGGAATGAAAATCTTAAAAGAATTCCTTGTAAGAAATAAAAAATTCTTTGCAAGAAGTGCAACAGTCCAAACAATCTAAAGAGGAACAATATCAGTAAGAGTTGAAATCCAAAAAAAAATAATTAAAAGTTTATTCAAAACCCTGAATATTGACTTTAACACACTCACATAAACTTCATATTCTCTACATCGTCCAGGAAGGTGTGAATGACAATTTCACCATGCTTCAACTCTTCAAATCCCTGAATATTGACTCTTGTAAAAGTGTTCCTCTCAGTATTGTAGAAGAAAAGGTAGAACGGGTTTGATAGAAAGTAGGGCGAAAACACAGTCATTCCGACAATCTTGTGATCGTTGACTATCTTTCTCCACAAAGGTGGCATTACGTATATAATTTTGGACCATTCATGCTTTACATTATCTTCTAGAACCCACAATACGAGTTCTTCTTCACCCCTATATCCAAACAGATGTACACCTAACTTACCTTTGTAGTTGAACAAAGTCCAAGAACGACGCTCACGCAACATGTCTTCATCTATGTTAATAAAACTAAATTTCTCAGACCTAAAATTGAAACAAACTATCTTATAAGAATCTACAAAATCAGCTCCGTAATACAAAACACCATTAATGCATATGTCATATAAAAACATCCCTGTAAAAGAATGTGAAATTAATACTGGGTCGTGTCAGCCTTGACAACAGTCGAAGCAGCTGCGCCAGCATTTCCATTGGCAACAACTGCAGGAACAGCTTCAGGAACCTCCTCTTCTTCTTCTGAATCAGAAAAGTCATCACCTTCCTCGTCGTCAATGTTGGGAGATCTGTAGCCAACGAAGTGGACACATCCTCTCTCCAAGCTGTGTGAAAGCTCAAACTCTTTCTCAAAGATAAGATCAAAGCTGGTCTGAGGGAACTTATCTTGAGAAAGTGAGCCAATCACAAATTTTATCCCATCAACCTTGACATATAAGACAGCAGTTTCTCTTTTTTCCCCTTTAAAGTCAAGAGATGCCTGAGAAATATGGATAAGATCGTCTTCATCAGGCCTCATAATAAGAGGTTTTCCTGCTTGAACTTCAGCTCCCCAGAATTTCATTCTTGATAAGCGAAGAAGAGAGTTTTTTGGGGGTTTTTTTTTTAGCAGCGAGAATATGAAGTTGCAATGAGAGAGGGCTCTGCTTTTTCTTGGGATCGTAACCTCAAACGCCCCAAGGTTCAAACTTTTATTCAACCAAAGCCTTGTTATAAAAACAAATACTTTTTTTTTAATTGAAAATACGGTTAAAGACCAGTCCACCCTTAATGAATCCAAAATATTATACGATCCAACCAACTATCCTACCCGAACCCAGATCTAATTGGATCCTAAAACAAAAAACAAAACAAATAATCCCAACCAAAACCGTGACAAATATTTTTCCACTTTTTCCTCTCCTCCTTTTCTCTTTCTCGAAAGCGATTCCGACGATTTCGCCGGCTCCAGTTCTGCTTAGGCTTCACTCCATCTCCGCACCGTCTACACTCCGTTTCCGCACCATCGCCGCTCTATCTTCGTAAGAGAGCACTTGAAGGTAAGCCCTAAAATCCCTAAATCCCATCTCCTTATTTTTTGAAATGGGTTTTGCTTCAACTAGGTTTAGGGTGTGAGAAAGAGTGGATTTCATAGGGATTTTGATTTCAACTGTAAATATGTCGGATTTGTTCATATTTTGTTGGTTTGACATTTGAAAATTAGGGTTTATTGAGGTTTAGATTTTGAAAATTAGGGATTTTGGTTTCAAAAGGAGATATTTCAAAAGGAGATTTTTGATATGAATTGGAGATGTATGGGTTCGATTTTGAAACTAGGGTTTTCGGTTTTGATACGAATTGGGAAAAGATGGTTGTCCAAAGATGGTTTTGTGTATAATTTGATTTGGGATTTGTTCGTTGTTGTGGATTTTTCAGAAATGTCTCCTAAGACCAAGAGAAGAATTTCGAAGAAAGGGACTTCAAGGACTTCAAAGACTCTGACTTCACAAGATCCGACTTCAAAAGCGTCAAGTTCAACATCATTTAAAGCGCCTGAAACTGTAATTGAATTAGCACCTCAATCTGAAATTGATACAATCACGGTTTCAGAGGTATATGATTGTAGAAATTGTTAACTGCTTAGTATAACTAGGAGTAGGAGTATTGTCTAGGAGAACTGGTACTACATAGTTTAAATGTTAGTATTTAGGTGACCTGGTTCT